CAAACGATGTGTAGTTTGTCAAGATTGTGCACAACCCAAATCAGATCAACCTCCATGAGAAGCCACATCAAGAACCACAGCGTCTCTCGTTTCTGTCTACTCACCACAAGGCTTTTCGTTTGCTTTGCCACAAAAAACTTTTCAAGGATAAAAAGGTGTGCATTTCAAATTTAAAGGTCCTATATCGTGGCGTTAGTCTTTGTTTTATAACGTTGCAGGTGTAAAATTAAAGCTGTTACAACATGAAGTTAGTTCCATTTCTCTACCAAACCTACAACTAGATGGCCTCCCAGCTTCACATACCAGTGAGAGTCTTGTGCAATTTCTACATAGAAGGCAAATGAGAGTCTTCAAAATGCTGCCCCTTAACCGACCACCTCTATTCAGTGTTAGCATGTTGTGCAGCTAATGTGGCTAATGCTAGCATCGGCTTTGCCCGCACATCATAGGAGCCCCATGACAACTGTGATGCTGCAGAGTAAATCAGAAATGGTGGAAACACGACGAGCAATTTAAACCCAGTAAACAAGGACCGGATGATGAAAGTATCAGAGGAACAAAAGTGAGCCGAACAACGCTGATTATTATTCATTGGCTTTTATTGCGCAAACAGACTTTCATCAATGTTTCACCGCGACTGTCTTCATCGGAATCAAAGTGGACAAATGCAATCTATCTTCAATCTAAACCAGGTGAACAGTCGTCGTTGGGTTGTTGGTTGGTTGGACAAAACATCACATGGAGCCTTTAAAGGAATAGTCTGACATTGTGGAGCTTACTGACTTTACCAACAGTTAGATCAGAATTTCCTTCTGGGATTAATAAAGTCAGTCTAAGATCAGATGATTGACGTCATGTTTGTCTATGATACATATGGACGTACAGCCAGCAGTGGCTTAGCATAGCTTAGCTTAGCTTAGCATAAAGACTGGAAGCAGAGGGAAAATCATCTTTTACCAGATGTTAAGCTTACTAATTAAAATATATCTGTATTAAATGTCCAGATTTCTGAATGAAGCGCCTCACTGTGAACACACTTCATGTCTGTTGCTGCAGCTCTGTCTGTAGTCTTTCTCCTTCACGTGAGCCAGGTCGTCCAGCAGCTTCATCCGGATGCATTTGTCCACCGTCAGCTCCAGGGTCACCTCCTTGAACACCTGACACACCGACACCTGCAGCAGCATAAACAGCAGTTGCTGTGATTCTCTGTGGTTCATATTAGACACATTGAGATAATGCGATCGTGTTACCTCTTCGAAGAGCAGCTTCTTGAACATGCCGATGCTGACCTGGTTGTCCAGCCCGATTTTTGCTTGAAACCTTCCGATCCCGAGGTGGGTTAGTGCTGTTGGAAGACAATACGCTGATCATCACTGCACCAAGGAAGCAAACCTTCAATATAATTTGTTCGGAGCTATTTTCAACCACAGACACGTGACATTCACAGCAAAACCAGCTCAGCTACTTCTGCCACTTAGTCGGCTTGTGGTGATTAAATGAACTCTGCCCTGAAGCCACGAACCGCCACAGAAGTCTCTGTCATTGTGGCCCGTAGTTGGCTAAATTCCCACAATGCCCTCTGCTTGCCCACAGGGAACCATCTGTATTAAACATCATCAATCTGCAGTCTGTAATCCATTAAACAGCAAGAGGCTCCACCTTGTGGCAGAACCAGGTACTACAGCTGATTACAACACACTTTCTGACATGCATGGTCTTCTGCTGTGTTGGTAATATAGTTTAAACCAATAATGGAAATGAATCGATCAATGACTAATCTTTTACATCCCTACACTGCACAAAAAGTTTCCACGAGAGCGGTGGCTGCCATCTTGGACCACTGCTGATTAGTTATTTTCCTGATTAGTCATTTGATCACTATTACTATTAGCTGACAGCTGATCTATTCATTACAGCAGCTCTACTGTTATCTGAGGTGATTCGTGCTTGAAGGTTGCAGGACATATGAGGCACAGCAGCAGCTCTTCTCCACACGTAATTTAGCTTTTAATACTCACAAAGGCCTCTTTTTTCCCACCTCAAACGAGGCCCAAGGCATCAACACCCACATTTTATCGCTATTTTCTGGCCCCGGCTCTCTGGCAGATCAACTTCCTATCTTTGAATCCCCCTGCGAGGCTTTGACTGACTCAGTAGTTTGTTTAGCACAAGCAGAACAAACATAGAAACAGTGACTCAGCAGGTCTGGAAGCAGGTAAAGGAGCAACAAAGGAGGACATCTCTGCCCTCTAAGCTTCTGTTCCCCTGCTGTGCATAACAACACCTGGTCGGTCGGTTTGTACAGCTGAAGCTAGACTGAAGCAGTTATGTTAGTTCAAAGTGTCTTCAAAGCTCATAGCCTAAACTGGTGATAAGAGCTCTTGTGGTGTCTTAGCTGCTCACCGTAGCTCATCATCATGCGCGTCACCTCCTTCCCGATGCCTTTTCCTCTGTACCTGGGCTCTGGTGCAAACAAGACACAGCCTCGTTATCAGAGAATGAAAAACAGCTGAATGAAAAAAAAAAAAACAAGAGTCGAAACAGACAAGATTCAGAGAAATAACATGTAAGAACCACCTGCTATCATGACCTCCAGCTCAGCCAGGGATGGGTCTGCGGGGTCGGTCAGGAAGATGTTGACGTCTCCCACCATGCACTGCTCCTCCTCCAGACTGGAGTCCATCCACCGCTGCTTGTCCAGGATGATGAACGTGCACTCTGGAGAGTTAAAAGTTTAGTTAAGGTTGTTTGATCTGAGCTAGAAAATCTGAAGGATAGAAGAATGTGATCATGAAATGTGGACAACTGAGGAAGGATTTGTGTTTCGCACCAGTGGGTTTGAAAGGCTTATCTTTAAAAGGAATATTTACTAGAATTACAGCAACAGTCAGAGCTAGAAATGGAAGAAGCAGAACAACTTAACTTTCTTAACTAAACCGAAGTTTAAAATATTTCCTTATAATCCATATATTTTACACATCTCACTTAGAAGATGTCCCAAAAATAATCCATTTGCTTTAACCTGATTCTGCAAAAATCATAGAATTCTGTGCACCTCAGTGTCACCGTGAAACAACGACTGACTGAGTTGTGACTAGCAGGCATGTGGGCTGAGCTGCAGGCTGTATTTACACGGAGCAAACAGGAGACATGCATGGAAACAGATCAAACATGTAAGTAGTAAAATGTCTGTGGTAGCTAGAGACACCTGGTGGCAGTCGGACAAATGTTGTTTTTCATTTTTTGTCACAGAAACTGACCTTCAGTTTTCCTGTCTTTTGATTTCTGGCATGACAACAGAAACACTGAGTTCTATCTACTTCTACAGTCTATTCATGGTACTGCTGTTTCCATAGAGGTGCAGGACTTTATGTTGCAGTGAAAACCGAGTCCACACTCAGTAAAAAACGTGACCATTTGAGGATAAATGCATTAATAAATGTTGGCTCTAAGTGTTATTTATGTAGTGCAGACTGATGAGCTCTTACTGTCATCGTCGTCCCTCCAGCTCTGCTGCATGTCGTATTCCTGCTCCAGCGTCAGCGGCTCTGAAGCCGTCAGCAGCTGCAGCTCAGGCGACTTCATCCACTCGTGATACCTGAAAGAAGCAGGTACGAGTTAAACTCACTTAAACAGTTAAACTCACTGCCAGAAGCTACACGATCGGACGAGCAGATCAAACAATCTGACTATAGATGACGTGCACGACGTCTCTGTGGTGACAGGAAACTACAGACGGTTCAGAAAATACCATCAGCTGACTTCTGTATGATCGGATTTCTGTAATGTTTTGATCGACTTGTAGATTCTGAATAACAGTGAAAATGTCAGAATTGTACATTAATAGTTACTCAAATGTTGTCATCCAAACATAACCTCACATTTCAGAATGTGAAAAAGTACACGCTGAAGGTGGCAATTTAAAAAAATAAGGAAGTATTTGGGTAGTATCAGTGAAACGTTGCTGATTTTAAATATTCATAGTTGATGATTTTTTTAAAGCCTCTGATTTATTAGTGATGGAATAACCCTGAAATTCATAAAAAGCTGAAATAATACACAGCCCTATTCCAGTGTGGTCCAGCAAAACAAAAACAAAACAACAACAAAAATAGGAGCCCAAAACTTCAGCTTCAGATTCATAAAAAGCATAAAATAGCATGAACACACTTCAGAAAATGTACCTGACACCACATGTAGGAGTCAGGTGAGAAGAAAAACACCCTGAAGGTAAAATAATTTAGGAGACACTCAGAGAACAGAGAGGACAAACAGAGTGTTGAGCAGCTGGACGGTGAACAGCTGTTGTTACCTGGGCACGTGCTGCTTGTTGTACGGAACCAGCACCACCTGGAGTCCCTCCAGCAGCGTGTTCTCGTTTATCTTCATGGCTTCCAAAACCGGATATCAAATATAGATCGAACAATAACTCTAACACACGTCTACGTCCATGCCAAAGCCCGGTTTTTCTCAGCAACAAATCCTGCATCCATGTTGCCAACCTCTCACTCCACTTCCTGCTTCGTTGTGAAGCTGCGGCTGCGCACAAAGTCCCGCAGGAAGGAGGCGCCACCTGCTGG